CACACACACACACACACACACACACACAAGTTTATGTAAACCGTGTGTATATATACTGCACAGGTACATAATACATATTATACGTTATATGCGCGTTCTCCGCGAGTACAATAATTAGTATTTGCTCCGTGTAAACGCGATAACATCTCGGAATTGTTTAATTATTACGTTTGTTTTTTCGTCTTGGCTGTGTATTATTTTCTAATCGTCGCTGTGCAGTATATATATATTTATATAGCTCGTCGTGATAGCCTCGGCGACCGTTCCGCTGGCCATTACAACATAATCATTTATAAAAAGCTCTTCGTCGCCCGTATAATATATAGGTAGGTACCAGCTATGGTACCAATGCAGTATAATAACGCGTTTAAATACTAACCAGAGTTAAAATGTTACAGTAGGCACTTATTATTATTATATTTAAATATTCTGGATACTTGAAACATGACTAGTACATTTTTTTTAGGATTTTGCACCGCGGGTCCGACTTATGCATACTCGAGACTGCACATAGGTATAATTTACCAAAATCAAAATGTCGGTGGACGCAGTCGCGTGACTATAAGACTACAAATATTATAAATTATGATATTAAATTATAGACGTTTTTGTAATCGTAATATTCTTGGTTTAAAAAAAAATTAAAATAATATTAGCAGTATCTACTTTTATTCTTTTACTTCGTGTTTTCGTTTATCGTCTTCGACTATTCAAACAATTATGTTTATGTTATTTTAATGTGCCAACATTATATTATTCTGATTTTGTCGATAATTGTTCCACTATAACAATAATATAGCATATAATTATGCTCAGATATTTTCACTATTTCGTTTCATTTGCACCTATTTATTTTTTACATTAGTAATTAATATAAGTACAAATCAATGTTGACCATTGCCGTAATGGATTTCCTCACATTATAGTACAGGTATACCCAAGTATATAATATAATTAATTAAAATTCTTGTACAAAAGTTATTGTTTGAGTTACCCATAATTTTGAACATATTATTATAGTCATCAACGGCCCAGTTGGCAGTTGGGTACTTAATTAAAATTCGTTAGCTTTTATTGATAATTAGCTAGGTAGCTGCAGGTATTTAACAATATGATGTGAAGTATTTATAAAATAATAATTATTACCTATATATAGGTATACCATATATTATATACGTGTTATCGGAATGAACGGTCGTAAAAATGTCTATACATATCATATAGGTGCATAATAAAATGATACTATGATTTAGACATTTAGTCTAAATGATGGTATATTGTACCAAATTAAGACGCGCACTTATACCTAGCAATTATCGTATTTAATAGGTCGTAGACGCAGGGGAATTAGTATATAGGTAGGTATATTAATAATAATCGCTAATAATCAATATTATAATAGTAGGTATAATAATGGTTTCGTAACGTTTTTATTTCGGTCTACATACATTTTCTGCGGCCGTATAAAATATTAGGCATTATAATATTATTAATATCATTAGATCGATTAACGAATTGAATACGATGGGACGAGATTATGATGAAATAATATTTCAGCTCTATAATAATTTTATCGGAAAGCAATATACAGCGGTAACCTCTAGAACATATAATAAATTAGGTACCGTAAAATATATACCTATCGAGCGCATATCACGCGATTGTACTTTATCTGAAATTAATGCGAGACCACGTTAAACTATATACACACAAACAATTACCATTATCCTACGATTATAATATTATATTATAGGTACGCGGTGTAGTGCAGTGATTATTGTTTTCAAAACGGCCTGCAATAATAATATATTATAATATGCTAATAGACAACTAATATAATATTATTTTACAAAATACGCGTAAACCTGCACTCTGTTATATGTAAATATTTATAATATGTGTATAGCTATTTTACATAGGTGCGTGACGATATTATATTCTATACAGTCACATATAACACCTATATGTAGGAATTATATACCTACCGATTTTATTTTATCGATTTCATTTAACAATTACTTGAATCTAGTTATGGGTACCATTTTGCGTAGTTATTTAAAATTGTAGTGTATACAATTATTATATGATATGATTATTATATTATATGAATCTGGTACCTATAATATATATTTTTATGGTTCGATCGAAAACCTTATTTATTGTTATGATTTTTTTTTTTTACAGAGACGCAAAACCAATAAAAAAAGTACAAAGATCGAAATCCAAAGCACGAAAACTCGTATAACATAATACATGTAAATATACATATATATAGGTAATAACAATATATAATCAATTATTAAAACGTATATATATTATAATGTAACCAAATACTTAAATGTTAAATTATATATATTATATATATACAATAATATTCATTGATGGGTATCTGTGTATATGAAATAAAAACGAAATACATAGTTCCAGGTCAAATGGTTCAACCAAAAGTCGTTTATATTACTGCAACTTACGTGTAATAACTTATACACCTATATATTGCCGACATTCTTTTAATAATTTGTAATTTCTTATCTGCAAGCGTAGTAGGTCTATATTAAAATATAATATTTGTTATATTAGCCATTATATAACTATATTATATTAGGTATAGCTGCGGTCGTGACTCGAGATATAATATTGGATATTAGGGCACATGAGTTATAAAAAGTGTTTCCTAATCTTTTTGATACATATAAAGTAAAACCAACTAAGTGAGTAGCCACTTACTAATTAGATCTTAGACCCTTCTTCTGCAGGGTGACCCACAGTAAAAGATTCTAGTTACCTAAATTCAATGTTGTTATATTATTATAATTTGGAACAATATTCAATCGTTTAATCTTGCTTGTGAGTTGTGGCCATAAAAAAATGTCACGAACCATAGGTTGGGAAACACTGGGCTTTATTATGATATATATAATATGAAAGCAATCTTTGACTTTTAAAATGCACTATAACAGAATATAATAATTATGACTGACTAATGATTTCAAAATTAAACAATTCAAACATAATTATAATCTTATTTATATAATATATAGGTATAATTATATACCTACATACTGAGTACTAACTATGTTATAAGTATATACATTATAAATGCGACTATTGTATATACAACTATTTGAAATAATATTATATTTATGTGTACAAATATAATATTATGAACCGAATTGATTACCTACCGATTGTTCATTCCATTATAAATTATAATATATATCAATAATGTTTATTAGTATAAACCTTAGTACCTACACAACTACCAATTCCTATCAATGACATTGCATTGGCAAATTAATTTAGATATATTTGATTTTTATGTGATTTATGGTAACGATAGACATAAATATAATTGTACGCTAATACGTTTAAATATCATTATATATTTACATATAGGCTATATATGCCAATAACCATTGTTATTGCAGCTTTAATCAAATAAAAGAAAAAAAATACATATATATGTATACATACTTATTGCATAGACGTTTCGGGAAGTAATAAATATTGGATATCAATTCGTATGGACGCTTTTGAAAATACTTAATTGTTAAATAAATTATTGTAATCGAGCGTGTAGCTCCATTATAGATATAACAATTTATATAATAATAATAATATAGGCAATCGAGGTCATGTCATAAATAGATATATTATAGGTACATCATCAACGTGTTTTAGTATAAATATTTAAACAGACGTTTAATTTATTTTTAATCGTATTGGAACAGTCAATAACAAACTTAAATATATAAGTATATACCTACAGGCACCTATTATACTATTACTTATGTAGGTAATTATTGAAGTAAAAAGCTAATTTTCGAAAACCCAAATAGGTATATAAGTATAATACCATTTGTAGTGGAACGTTGCTCGCATTCTATTACAATCTGCAGACTACGACGATAATGTACGGTGCAGTGTTGTACACAAATCTTCTATACCGCCTATACCTATATACTTCAAGACCTTGGTGTGTGTTTAAAGTTATAGCCACGCGTTTTGGTATATCTGTGTATGATATAAGTACCAGCTACTTGGGTAGATACGTGGCGTGTGCAGGATCTTTTTGCAGAATAATTTTAGTTGCGATATCCATCCCCTTACTAACTCTTCATAGACTTTATTTTAGTTAAAAAATAAATGCTCAATACTTATTAGAAAAAGTAGACATTTCTCATTAGGTACTTACGAAATAAAAAACTGAAGGGGAACGAACATATTTTCTATGAATTTTAATGTGTTATTATAAAATTGTTTGTCATCGTTTTCCATCGTTTATGTACAACGTTATTATGTGTGATAAATAATTGAATTAAAATAAACATCCATTACAGTTTTACACCCGTGTATAGGTTACACTGAACGAAGATGTTGGTACACTCGAAATCTAAGTGTAGGTACTGCAGTACAGTACAGAGCGGTTACATATAATTATTTTAATAGTAAATAAATAAAGAATTTTAAATTTTCAAGTAGGTAGTTACTCTATCAGTCTGTATACATTTATAGTTAGGTACAATTATAGTGAATAGGTATTATATGATTTATGTAGAAAAGGGACTTTAATTCGTATTTATATACATTATACCTATGCCTACAGCTCAGAGGTGATCGGAATACTCGCAAGTACCCAAAGGTAGCTTCTATACACTGTGGGTGATAAAAAAGTCAAATACGCCACTGCAACCAGCTATGGTTAACGATCCGTCGAGGGGTGGTGGGTGAGCGGACGACAATAACGATAGATAATTTAATACCAGCGGTGGCGTGCGATGACAACGACGACGGACACGACGCGACGTCGTCGTATTGACGAAACGACGTGCCCCCTCGCCGCCGCCCCGACCGAACCACCCACAGCCGCCGCCGCCACTCAGCGACAGCAGCACCGTCGTCGGCGTCACGGGGGCCGGCATGGGCGTGGCCCGCGCGGTCGGCGGCCACTACCGGGCGCGCTCTGGTCGCGGCCGCCGCCGTCGCGAGGTCGCAGCCAGCCGCGGCGCTAACCGCTTGCCCGATCAGTCGACCGACGACACCGCTACTGTCCGTGTTCCGCCGCGTGTACGTGATGATAATATAATATTGTTACTGTTGCAATAAAATAATATAATATTATCTGTTCGCCGTTTCGCCGATCGAAGTGTACCCATCACCGTAATACTATAACGCATTCGCCGGTGTCGCAATCGATCGCGTGTGCGCTTTTACGCTTATAATATTGTAATAAACGAACATTTTTTTTTCTCGAGCTTCCTCTGATTTAATATTTTTTAATATTTTAATACATCAACTCTGTTCGTCGTTTATCGCCGTGCACTAAATATCAAAATCGAGATTAATCGTTTTATGAATTCGCGCGCATCTTCCGCTGCGGTCTGCCGGTGGTAGGTAAGCCGCGCGCGTTGAATGCGCTTTACAAACGGTTCGTGCGGACACACATGCTAGAACAGACCGGAGCAGCAAATATGACAGTCTTAGCGCTCAACCATCTGTTGCCGCCGCCGCCGACGCCGTCCGCCAACAACGGCGGTCCGCAACCACAACAGCAACAGCAGCAGCAACAACAGCAACGAGCGGCCGCCGGAGCTGACGGCAACGGCGCCGACGACGTGCAGCAAAACGGCAAGACGTCGCGTATGATGACGGGCGCGGCCGCGGCCACCAACATGTCGACGGCGTTGATGATGGGTGGCGGGCCGCCGACGGGCCACCACCACCACCATCACCACCACAGCCACAACCACCATATCAATCAATTGCACAACAACAACAACAACAACAACGACGACACGGCCAGCAGCCCGCGGTCATCCGTCGTCGCGGCCGCCCGGCCGTCCGGTCACATCAAGTTCAGCGTGGCCGCCCTGTTGGCCGACACCAGGCCCGTCCGGTCACCGACGCCCGGTTCCGTGTACGACGACGACATGGACACGCCGGACGACGACGAGGACGACCGCAACAGCGTGGACGTGGAGACGACCGACGGCGGCGTCGCGGTCGGCCGGCGGTGTTCGTCCAGCACGCCGGACCGCGGCCGCTCGCCGATGCCGCTTCACACTTCGTCACCGCCGCTGTCGCATCACCAGCACCACGGCGGCCACCCGTTCCAGCAGCCCGGCGGGTCCATGGCAGCTCGCGCGGCGTTCATGATGTCCGGCGGCGGTGCGTCCGTCCCCGGCGGCGGTGGACACCATCACCATCCCGTCGCGCCCGTCCGGCCGACACCGTTCACGGCGTTCGCCGCGGCCGCCGCGGCCGCCTACTCGGCCGCCGGCATGCAGCACCCCGCCGCCCCCGGAGCATGGCACCCGCATTACGCCGGTGCGTTCCCCGGCTTCGGTTCCACCGGTCTCAATTCCGGATCACCCGGTAAGTTTTCAAGTCGATATTATGATTTAATGCAATAGTTTTTTTTATTGTATTTTCATCGCGATTACGTATGAACCTTTATGAATTATTGACCGTACGGCGGCGGCGGCAGCGGCGTATTGTTAACGCGTGTGTCAAAAATCTTTTTACTCTTCGCTCGACCGTACTCTATTTTTAGAATGTCCATAATATATTGTTGGCATAATAGGCAGGTAATTGTCGAAATTTATTTTTATCCTCGTATGCACATGATGCATGATGCCCGTGCGGAGAGCGCCTCTATTTTTATACCGTTTGCGTACACAATAAAAGCAATATCGCCTAATTAGCCGAATAATTATTGTAATATTGTTGACGCGCGCGCGAGATAATAATAATAATAATAATAATATAATATAGAATATAGATAATTATTCGATATCCACAGTTCATTATTCTACACAAATTATGGTTTTGGGGACCTCGTCCAACGGTCGGTTTTCGGCGCGCAAACAATAATAAAATATCTATTTGTGGCTGTACTTATACAACGAATTGTGTACCCACTTTGTATTGGGTAAAATGTTTGTTTTGTTTTTAAAGTTTGTATTTAATACAACGTATTGTTTAAGATTCAAAAATTTATCTCGATAATTATCATACTGATTCATAAACGTTTGAACACATTTGCCTCATTGTCACCTCTCATAAACCATATTTGACCAAGATTAACCTATAATATGTAACAATTATATGAATATTCTAAAATTTGAATTACTTATAAGTTCTGTGTCTCTGTATATAACTTGTTAAATTTGTTATTAAGTTAATTTACCGTTGTTTTATACATTTTATTGTATTATATTATTCTATATTATTATTCTCATAACTAATATGTTAAAATTGACCATTAGGAGTTTCTAATCAAATAATAAAAATATCCAGATAATATTCACACATTTTAAACTACCTATATAGTATACATGAAGGTCCGCAGAATAACGTATCGATTTGTGCCAATATTCCGAATTTCTTTATTGTTTGAATTACTAATAACCTTTACATAAAATTATTCTTACAATATTTTAATTAACATAACTAATATTAATAATTAATGTAAATATGCATTTTTAGGTTTTCGTCATGTTTCTCGCTTAATTTATTATCACACACACAATATTGTAAACAGGTGTCAGAAATATTAAATTATTTAAAATTATGTAGTAGCTCAAACGACCATGGCTAAATTATTACTCAGGTACTATAGGATTATTT